GAAAAAGATAAAAGTTCTGATGTTTTTTCTATGATAATTTTGATTTATTTCACACTGATTTCTTGACAGTTTTATTTTCATTTAAGATTTGTAAGTAATGGGGGGACATTTTTTTGCCATAATCTTATAATTGCTTTCACTATTATCCTTGCAAAGACATGAAGCAATCCAAGATCTTCAGATAAGTGAACTGACTAACCAAAAACACAATTTAGAGACAGAAATTATTTTTTATTTATGAAAGCAGTATAATTTTTTTTTCCAGTTAGGTCAATGACTGGGAACAACAAAATCAGAAGGAATTAATTGCCTAAACTGACATGTGCCCATTGTCAGATTTAGTTTATATTCTATTTGATCTTTCTAAATAGGGACGTTATTTTTAAAACAGTTATATCCCAGATGAGCAATATATTAAAGGCAGAAACATCCAAGAGGACTCAGAGTCAGACACATGCATAAGAAAGACATGAAAATAGGTTATCTATAAAAGCATAAAAGAACTTCACTTGACTTGCATGACTTTTTGTATCAAGCATGCTACAGTAGTCTTCTGATTCTAATATGGAACTATAGTAAGGATCATTGCACTAATGCATGAGGATTTGTGATAATGTTGCAGAAATTTTACTGTCAAAACTGAACTGCAGTGTAATGACTTTTGTTATCATGGTTTCTAATAACTATTCAGCATGAATTGACCCTACATATGTTTTACTACAATAATATGTCAGTTATTCAGAAAGCTAAAAAAAGAAACAGAAATCAATAGGCTTCCTCCCTCAAAACTCTTACTATAATGTGGCCACCTGAAGATAGCAGATCATGAATATGAGGCTGAATATTTTGCTTAAATTTTAAAGCAATTATAATTTTCATGGAGACTATTTTAAAATAAATGTTGTGTGTACCAAAAAAAAAACCCACAAAAAAAACCCAAAAAACCAAAAAACAGTTTTGTGACTATGACACTTGGGGTGTTAAGGATAGATTCAAGTAAACAGGTTCCTAACTTACCCAAATATAGAGATAGGTCATTGTATCAACTCTAATTTCATTATGAGGACAAGTATCAGTGTCTACAGTACAACCATTGACACGTTAGCATAATATATTGGAAGTATCACATTTTGCTCATGGAATAGATATTGTAAGATTGTTCAGCACATAAAGAAGGATATGGTAAATAATTATGTTTGATTTTAAAGTATGATCATATTCCTGGTGCTAATGTGCTAGCTCATTGAGATTTCCAGAAGAAACTGCTGTTACACATTTGCAGGGCAGAAGCTGTATTAGCCAAGATTTTGTTACTGAAATTCTACCACATAAATCCCAACCCACAAATCTTTTACACACAAAGATTTTGCCACATCAACATACATGTGTAAAAACTAGTAATATATCAACATTATAAAAAAAACCAACAAACATTCAACTACTCTCAAAAGCAAAAGTTTAGGGAAAATATTAGGTACTAAAAATAATGTATTTAAAGATAATGCCAAGATTCATCACAGTTTATTCCAATGTCATCTAGAAAAAATGGAAATGTGTGATTCATGTTATAACGAAACTAGCACATCCAAACTGACAGACATGTCATTGATTAGTGGAAAATATATATAAGGGAAACCAAATTAAAGAGAGAAGCATTTTTTTCAGAGAGTAAAGTATTAAGGAAAATAGATTGAGAATGAGTATCTCAAGGAAAAGAACTATAGGGAAATATTTTTCTCATCCAGAGTGATATCTGACTGCTCTGATATTTGATCAAATTAAACATTAGGATAAATATAAATGTTTTATGGTACTGATTATATAGTATAATAAAGTATCTTTGCAGACAGAAATATCTTTGTTGTTGTTGTTGTTGTTAAGGAAAATAAATATTATGTATGTATGGTCTAACAAGCAACTATCCAAAAATATGATAATTTTAAAAATAGAAAATAAATTAGGTAAGGAAAATATTATGTCAAAGTTATTTAGCTATTACATCTCTATAGTCATATGAAATCTCTACAAAATACTGTCTAGAAATGGGATTACAAATGAACATCAGCAGATTCTAAAGTTTTGGGCACAGAATATGGTTTAAAAACTAAGTGCTTGAATATGCTTTAAAAAAAAAAAAAAGTAACTCAAATAAACATAATGGTAGCTGAGAATTTTTATTGAAATAACTGCATTTAGGAACTTAGTTTTCAGACACAATGGTTTATATCCCCCTCTGAGCTTAATTTGCTTGTTATTCATAAAGCAAATGTCTCCAGGAGGAGAGGATACCAACACCTAGAAAATTTCAGCAACAGAGGGAATCCTCTTCTCATCTATCTTATATCTGTATTAGGAGGAAAACACTCATCTCCTCCCAAGACCATGCCTTTGCATTCCCTATGCAGAAGAAGGTATTATAATTTTTATGGGCATAGGCCCGTATTCAGCAATGTATATCTCATCCACTCAATAAATGCACCTTCCTCAGTGCAAAGAAGCTTACTAAGTCATGAGAAGACACTTCATGTTACCAAAGCATTATTTAATCCATCATAAAGATAATCCCTTTCTGGGGCTGAACAAAGCAGCTACTTAGGAGCCCAAGGCAAACCTACTTCATTAGCTAGAAAAGTTACTATATCTAGTTAAAATTATGAAAAAAAAACAAAAACAAAACCAAAAACAACCCAAACAAACCGCAATTTGCCTTTTGGATGAGTATTTGTAAAAATTGGTTTCTAATTTTGCATAATTACATATATAAGGAAGAAAGTTCTCAGGATTTAGGGAAGGTGAACATAGTTTCTTCTTGACTGTTCATGTCATTGTAAGGCATATATATATAGCACCTGTAAAAAATTGTTATTTTGACACTCCTCCAGAACTGATTTTCTGTTGCAGTTGTAATTTGCTTATTAGCAAAAAACTAAGAAAAAAAATATAGCTTCTTTTAATAGGATGTATATGTAATCAACACATTTTTTCCTTTTATCATAATTCTAAATACTTAATGTGACAAATGTAGAAATGTTTTGTTTCAATAGTTGGACTAGTTATTCGTTTAACAAAATTAAGAGTTAACAAAAAAGAAATTAGATTGTCTCGTTAATCCTCAAATTAATATTGTGAATAGAATTTCTCTTCCTCATACACAGACCATTGCTGGATGGCACACAGGACTGTCCAATATTCAAAACATTGCCGTCATTAATTTCTACCACAAGCTAGGTATAGGTATTTGTAACGCTGATTACATGCTCCTATAGAACAGCAACATGCTCATAACCATTTTCTTCATAGACAAGATTTTAAAAAGCCAAACAAATTATTATATAGCACTGCTGATGAAACTAGATCCTGTTGGTATTGCATTGCTATTTTGCTGTATTTTACTATGTTTATTTTATTGTATTCAAATTGAGAAGGAAAAAAGCAGCAATATATGCCAACTCATTTGCAATTTTCTTTGCTTCCAGACTACATCATTGAGATGTATGATAATATCATCCATACTATGTCCAGAAGAGGTAAACTGTTGAGTGGGAAACAGTTTCACAAATATTACCAAGAACTATTAAATTCTGATAATGTAGAAGACAGACATTCTTACATCCATATAGAAGGTCCAGATGATAACCTAATATATATTTTTCTGTAATCTTGAAGGGAGTATGCCCTAGTTCTGCCTTCAGAAAAAAATAAATTCCTTTTATAATCCAGTTGTTTTAAGAAAACACTTCAGTATTCATAGCATTGTCTCTACTATCATATCATCAGAATAAAATTGACACTCACTCGGTGAAGAAAGATAGTCAATGATTTCTTCTACTTTTTATGTTTTAAATCTCCAACTTGTTATCCAAGTATGGTTATCCCTAATACATGACTTAAACCCAGTTTTGTTCTTGAAATATAGGAGCTATGTAGTTAACAAGAATATTTTGGAAGGGTTTTTCTTATTTATATTTGTCAGGAACAAACTGAATACACCAAATCTTAAAAGTAGAGATTAACTGACGTGTTGTACGAGGACATGAGCAATGGATGAAGATATAGGTATAAGACATAAAATGGATTAATAAGAGTAAAATACTAGCAAATAATCTGAATTTCACATCTAATTTATTTATTTGAAGCCTTCTACACTTTACATTTAGAAAATGAACTAAAATATCAATATATCAGGACCTGGTTCCTGCATAAATGACCTGAGTTAATTCTTACCTGAAATTGTTGATGTGAACTTAAGGTCTGTGAGCATGATGACTTAATATTCAGTAATATAGACATGAAAGGCAAGCAAACAATAACCTGACTAAAATATCTGAACAATATTTTTATTTGATTATAGTTGGCACTGATAGGGTCGTGTTTTGATAACTATGTAGAAACACAACAAAAGAAAACAGAAGAGACTTCTGTGAACTGGCATTACATTCTCAAGCTAAGTTTTACAACATCACTTGACTCAGGTTCCACAGCACTGTCAATTTAAAAAAAAAAATGCTATCATTTTAAATGTTACTAATTAGTCAATAAAACATTACACCTGGCCACTGTCGTGGAAGTTCATCAAACCAGATTTTACCTTTTTCATTTGACTCTTTTCCAAATTAAAGGCTTAGAGTCTGACTGTAGATGTCATAAAATTCACAATTTGCAGAAAAAGTGTTTTATGGAGAAATTATACATAATGATAAGGTACATTTTAATTACTGCATAATATATTTATACAATATATACAAAAATAAATAGATTTTATTTGCAAAAGTGGAATTAATGAATAATGAATTTTGAATACCTTACATGAACTGCTCTGTAAAAATAAAAGAAAAACAACACAGCAAGCAAGCAAAAAAAAATAAAAATAGAAAACTGTGAAAAAGCCAAGAGCAAAATAAGAATTTGGGTGATAGGTATTATTAGCAACTATTATATCATTATTAAGTAGCTGCATTGATTAAATGAATTTTAGAGATAAATGAATTGATTGAGTGATATTAGCACTTTACCTGCTGCTGATGTCTAATGGCAATCCTGATTTTGTTGTCATAGAGTTTTGTGAGGTCTTCTTTGCTGTTTAAACAGTAGTTCTGAAAGATCTGATATTCTTGAGCTAACCACAGATTTTCTTTAATTATTTGCTCCAGAGCAGCCTAAAGAGAAGAGTAATTGATTACACTTACTGCAAAATATCTTTCTAAAAAATAAAATCATAGGTCATTTCCACAATTTCCCTGACTCGTTCACTTACGAACATCTGCAAAATATAGATGTCAGGATTATGGTCTCAGTGAAACAAATGGAAAAGCTGCAAATGAGTTTCAAGTGGTTAGGATTTTGCTGAATATATTTATACTAAAGTAAATGTTATTAATAAATTATTTGTACTACTAAGAAGAAACTACTAAAAAGAACACATCCTCTACCTTACTACATAAAAGCTTTCTGCACAGAAATTATCTTGCCAGAGAACACATCAAATTCTTCATCCACATTTACTTTTCCAGATGTTATTTGTAAAACTGACACAACACAATAGTAATGTATTTTCTTAATAACTTTAATGTTTCCAATTTGATTAATTTGATTTTAAAGACTAATATAATGCTTGACTCATAGTTTGCTACCAGGTGAAGTTGTTTGGAATGTGTGCTTCTGTAATAAGAAAAATTTCCATTCCTTTCAATCTGATTATAGCTGAACTTCCCGTGATTCTAATTCACGATGTTGCAATTTGCTAAGGTATTTTTTTCTAAGTTACAAACATACAATCTGATTAAATGTATTTTAAAATTGATTTTTGACAAGGAATTCTACATTATTTTTTTCATTATTTTTTCATTAAAAAGCACTTAGTGGAAGGGGAGCCCAGGCAGACTTTTACCCTCTGTTCTTGAAATTTCAGAGACTTTTGACATTCCGAATCTCTTTTAATATCATAGTTATAAAACAGGATGGCTGATTTCCACATTTCAAATTATTTCTTCAAAATACACAACTTTAAATAACTTTAAAATACATGTTTAAAACCTCATACTGGTGATGACAATGCTATCCAGTAAAGAGGAGAGATGCATAAAAAGGCACCAATGAGCAAGCCTGAAACTTACTAAATTTATGTATGTTCTTGCCAGTTGCATTTGGGAGGTATTTCTGTTCAAAATGCATGCATGCATGTTATGGAGTGGAGGAGAGTTTACAATTGTGTGTGTGTAGAAGCCTGGGCCAACGAATTAAGCCCAAATGTCCATGCGCTTACCTAAGACAATATTTTAAAGTCTTCTAATGCAAAAGCTCTAGTCTAAAAGTTTTTGAAGGTAGAAGAGTCTACTTAAGAGTCTAGTTTATTACAGTATTATATGTGCAGAGCCATGGGTACCCTTGCAGAAAAGCAGAGCTAGCAGAACAGCTAGAGCAGCTGGAGCAAATGTCACCATCATCTGCTCCCTGGATGAAGCCTGTTAATCCAGCAGGAGCGAGGGCAGCCCTCTGGCTTGACAGTCTGAAACTGTGAGTGAAATGTTACCACAGGAGGTGGGGAGCAACCACCTGTCCCCATAGTTGCCTCACCAAAATCCAAAGAAAGGAAGTGTAAATAATTTGGGGTTTAGTTTTGAGAGAATTTACATGTTACTCCGTTTACTTCTCTGCTGCTCTTCTCCCTTTCAACAGAATACTGTTTAAGTTGAAAGATGCATGTCTGAGGCAGAAAAAAATACATTTTGAGCAGAAAGGAACTTAGACTAATTTCCCAGGTTCAAGCTACCATTTATATATGATCTCTGTTGCTGCCAGTCAAGCTCTCTTTGGAAGGGGCAACATAAATTTATATTGGGAACATTTCTGAAACAACAAACGTTTTAGCAATATATTATAGCTACAAGTTTTCCCAGAACCCAGGAGAGCTAGGGAACTTTGGTAAAATTCAAACCTTGCTTTAGTAGCTCCCATGTCTCTAGAAAAAGTCTTGTGAATTAGTGGACTAATAAAGTCTAAGTTCTTCTGGGGTCACAGTGCATAATGTTGAAGAATCCATATGTTTTCTGAATCTGTTCCCAAGTGGGTAATTTAGTGTCTCACCTTTTAAAGACAAAACTATCCAAGGGAAATAGCAGCATGCCTGAACAGGCTCCTAGCCATCCCTTGGACCTACTTGAATTTTGGGAGTTCCCAGGACAGTTAGCATATTAACAATGATTTTAGTCCTTTTTCTATGCAATGTCTTAATAAAGATATAGCTGCTTTTGTATCTATTGTATTTATAAGTAATTTCTGAAAATTTTGGCTAGAAGCTGGCTGTGGTTATGCAACTAAATGTAAAAAAATCTTCCTGTACAGAACTGTCACGCTCTACATCACTAAAATATTAAAATGCTTTGTGTCTTTCAGAAATCTCAAAATAATAAAAAGGAAGATGTAGAATTTAGTGAAGAAGATGTGATTATCTCCTTTATTAATCTTTGGGCAGAGGTAAAATCTGTTTTTCAGGCTGGTACCTTCCTTAACAAAAATACAGTGCTTGATGTTAATATGTTAACATTCAATACCTGCAAACAAGTAATGTTTTGAACATCTCAGTACTTTCACATAAGTAAGGAATATGGGAAAATGACAGAGAAGTTTGCTTGTAGAATAAGAACATCAATATAGTAATTTTCACCAATAAAAATATCTGACTACAGAACAAGTGAAGTCCTATGATTTTTGTATGATTTAAAATGGTTCAGACATTTTGACAAAGAATAACTACATACCAAAGAAAAGACAATAGCTTTCTCCAGATTTTACAAGACTCAGTGGCTATGTCTATATGACCAATTGCACTAGTTGCCCAGTCCCAAAAATTGCTTCATTGCATAGTTTATGTCAGCTGAGACAGATAAAATGAAATGGTTCTTTTTCTCTAATTCACTCCTCTGAAAGATGAGCTGAGGCTCAGAAAGTAAAGAGCATATATCCTTTAAATACCTGACTGTCACTTATTGACGTTTCTACAGGGGATTTCCCAGAATGTAGGCAAGAAAAAAAAAAAAAAAAAAAAATTCTGTCTTTATGAAAGAGAGGAATGGTCAAACTGGGACCAAACTTGGCAAGCCAGAATATACACTATACCTCTTTCTCCCGTTCTAGGAAAACAGGGATATGAATCTCCGAATATCAGTAAGATATCTAAGCAGACAATCCTGACATTTCTTTTATCTCTGGCACTCAAACTTCTGAATCTGTAGACTTGTGAACTGACAAAAAGCACCATGATTCATGTGCTTGTGCTGTTGCTCCTCAGCAAAACTTGAAATCAAAGATTTCTGGTACATCAGTCTTTATCTGCAGGTATGTTTGACTTCTTCAAATGTAGTGGAAATGACATCTGAAATATGGGAAGAAAATGTCTACATTTTTACATTGAAATAAAGTTACTTTCTTCGGTGAAAAAAAAAAAAAAAAGTATAATTCAAGGCAATCTCTTGAAGGCTCCTACCTGAAATGGAAACTAGCAAAGGCCATACAAGAAACAAATGAAAGAAGATATTTCTTTGCACTATGTGTAGTTAAGGTGCATGGATTCTTATGAATATCAAAAACTTAGAGATTTAAAAGGGACATAGAATTTCTAGGAGGAAAAATCCACATAAGTTTATTAAATAATAAAAAAAATAGTGGGGCTCAAGAAATTGCAAAGCCCCATGATTATTCTGGGGAAGTATTACAGCATGATTGCTCTGTTGTTACTCTCTACCTGAACATCTGGGATCAGAGCTAGAATATCAGGTTAGAGGAAATTTCCACCTGATTCAGCACATGTGCTTTTCTGTCTTTATGCTCTTTTATTCAGCACAGCAGCTTAGGAAGTGTCTTCTCTTTTTCTGGAACAGCAACAGTTTTCTGTGTGTTTGCCGAACACATTTGAAGTGCAGTTCCTGTCTGCTATAATACAAATTAATAATGAGACAATAAAGTATGTGGAAGCAAGAAAAAAATAAAACCACCAAGAGCCCTCCTCAAATCTACCAACAAATTGTTAGCACAAAGACTGCAGAAGTAGGCAATAGGAAAGCAGATGCAAAGCCATGCAACACAATGATGAATTGTCAGCCCAATACCTCAGACCATACAGAATTTCTTGTGATAACTAAACTTCAGTCCTTTTAGTCTGCAAAGATCACCACTAACCTAGCCATGATTTACAGACAAGCAAGGGATACTTGAAGCTTGCAGCATAGGGAAAATCTGTTTCATGTTATTCTTTCATCCTTTTATGTACACTAATACCAATCGCTTTGTGTTGCAAGTGATCCAAGAATTATTTTATAGTTCCATGTTTGTGTGACAAAAGTTTGTAAAGGATTGTAGATTAGGATCAATGATTTTGTCCACATAATGATATACCTATAAACATGATATAAATCCCGATGGTTTACAGGGTCAATCATCATTTCGAATGGTCAGTCTGACAGCAGTGTTTTATTCGAAAGATAAGAACAATTGATTTTGACAATCAGGTGCATCAGCACAATAAGCTAATTATTAAGGGATCTATATTAATTGGTTGTACTACTTAAACTTGATGTTGTGAGGAATAAAATTTCCCCAGGCAGGAATGACTGTTTCTTTTGTAGGCATAAAGTATCCTGTTCATAATATGAGCAGCAAAACAAGAAATAACATCTTAAAATTACTGTGTTCATGTGCATCTGCCCCTCCAACTCCATAGAGCTTCCCCTGAGGAGGTGAGCAATATTTTTCCCGTAGCATCTGTTACACATCATATGTGTCACTTCCCAGGGCAGAAAGAGCATGGTGACACTGAGTGCCACGAAGTCATTGTTAAAAAGTTGACAAGTCCTGCAGCTACAGGAAAGGAAGTTACTGTAAAGCAAGCAAGAGGTGTTGGGATTTTTTCCCTGTCTGAGGACAAGGCAACTAATGCTTATTAGCAAATAGTTTGGGCTCTACAAGTCACGGAAGCTACAACATAATTTGAGTTGATACAATAACTGATACGCTCTCCTATTTGGGATCTTCAGTTGATGCTGTCACCAGCATTTGATGGCTGGTAATTTATGCACCAAGGATCATGCAGCTACTTCAGTAAATTTCTAGAACTGCAACCCTTTTAAGGACACAGTGGAAGCAGCTGAGC